GAGAGAGAGAGAGAGAGAGAGAGAGAGAGAGAGAGAGAGAGAGAGAGAGAGAGAGAGAGAGAGAGAGAGAGAGAGAGAGAGAGAGAGAGGCGGGAGAGGGGGTATAGTGATAGATTATTCTGAGCGAGACGCATGTAGACGATGTTCGTGTACTTCTTTCGCAATCTTCGTTTTCTTTGCGTTTTTTTTTTTCCCGATCCTGGAGAATTTGCTTCTACACGTACAAAAAAGGAAAAAATAATGGCACAGAAATTCAATTCAATTCTCTCCCCTTCGTTGAGGCGAATAGGGGAAAAATGAGCATCTCGTTATGGGGCTCCCGTCTTTGTTACCAGTGCCTTCCTCTCTTCCACGTTTCGCCCTGTCTCTTGTTTCTGTTCGTGTTTTTGCTATTTCACTCGAACCTACTTTGTAGATTTTCATGGATGTGCACTCACACGAAAGTACCCGCAGGCACTAACACAGCACATAACACTCACACACGCACGGATACACACACACATAGATAGATAGATAGATAGATAGATAGATAGATAGATAGATCGATAGATAGATAGATAGATAGATAGATAGATAGATAGATAGATAGAGAGAGAGAGAGAGAGAGAGCCGCAGGCACTACACAGCACATAACACTCACACACGCACGGATACACACACACATAGATAGATAGATAGATAGATAGATAGATAGATAGATAGATAGATAGATAGATAGAGAGAGAGAGAGAGAACGCAAGTCACAGATGTTACATGGCAGAACAAGAAAAAGAAGAACAGTTGCATGGACGAGCAGTCACACCTCTCTCTCTCTCTATTCTTGTATCAATCTATCCATCTACCTGTGTATCAGTCAATCTATCTATCTATCTATCTATCTATTTGTGTAACAATCAATCAATCAGTCTTCTCTCTCTGTCTCTCTGTGTCGGTGTCTGCGTGCATGCGTCGGTGTACGTGCTGTGTGAGACCTCTGCTGGCGACGTTGAGTGCTGGATAGTGGCGCACGCGGTTTAGATCATGCTGCCTCTGCACGTCACGGCATCTCACCTCTGTTATCATTGGCATTGTCCCAGACATCATCGTCGTTGTCATCGTCAGGAAATCTGTCCTTTTTTTTTTTCTTTCGCTTCCTCCCCTTTCTCTCTCCTTGAGAATTTCACTTCGTCTTTTCCCCGTTGCTTTGCTCGCTTTCGATCCACTCGCCTTGTTCACACTCTACCCTCTTGTTACGTTTCTATCCTCTGCCCGACCCCTGCTGTTGAAACAGGTGCGAAAGCAAGGCCTGTCATGCCATTCTCTCCCCCCCTCTTCTCTCTTTCATAAATCGATCATACAGTCAATCGATGGACGGCAATACGGGAACGTAGCCCTATAAGTCTATTTTTTTCCAGTCTGCAGTCCATGTATGCGTGTTTCCAAAAATAGAACATCGATTGAACGGAGCAGAGGAAACACATTAACCTATGGAAAGAGGGATAGGAGTAGGTTAGGTGATATGAAAGTGATTAGAATGTGTTGGGAGAATATATGGACAAGAAAATTCCAGAGGGAAGAAAAAAAAAATGCTAAGGTAGATACGTGATGAAAAGGTAAATAGAGGCCAAGGAGAGTGTTGGTTGCCAGCGGCTGGGGCAGAAGTAGACTGGAAAACACTTGGAAAGAGAAACTGCATGTGGAAGCTTGAATTACTGTATTAGGCTATATATCGTCAAACAGAACTGCCCGTTAAATCGGTAAACCGTAGGAGAGAGGGAGAGGGAGAGGGAGAGGGAGAGGAGGACAACAAACGAGGGGCTGTGACAAACTGCATCGGATTTTCAGGGACGAATCAGGAGGCTGAACCCTCTACAGTCTGCAGAGTCCCCTAGCCGATTACGCTGTAAGTGATAATTCACCTTAACCCCGGTTTGCTTAGAATCAACGCCTGCCCAACAACGGATACCTTGAGGTGGGCACCATCCACTGCCCATATAATAATAAGTCATATAATCCTTCATAATGTGGCTAACCGCACTGAAGCCCACACTCAGTACATATGCTCTTTTTTTTTTTGTCTATAACGGGATTCATGAATCGACTGCCATGGATGAGTGCCGCTCGTGGGGGGGGGGGGGCGGGGGGGGGCGCTGCTGGGTATGCCTTTTCTCAGTCAATAGTTCGTTTTTTAGTTTAACAGGATTAATTAATGGATTCTGTAGATATGCAGGAGGGGGGGGAGGGGGTGGAGGGGGTGGCGCTGCTGGGTGTGCCTTTTCTCAGTCAATAGTTCTTTTTTTAGTTTAACAGGACGTAGATATCTTTGGGCAAGCTATCAGTGGGGTTGCGCTTTTATTCTGGGTACGGGTCATCCTCGCTTCATTTTAAGCTTTGCACTCTTTTCCAACTTGGACGTCTTTTTTTAATTAATTATTTTTATTAATTTGGACAATTACTCGATCTATATGGGTGTCCTCCATGCGAAGGTGGCCATGCTCATTATCTCTGTATCTTTCCAGTTTAGCAGATGTCCCGAAGGACTACTTGGATGTCTTTTGCGCATCCTTGTCATTTTCATATTTGCAAACTATTTTTTGATTTTTTTTTTCTCCCCCAATTTTCCCCTTTCCTTTTCTTTTTGTATACGTAGTGTTGCTACTATGATCGTCCTGTTTCCTCCCCTCCCCTCCCTCCTTCCCTCCTTTCTTCCAACCGAGCGATCGATGGAGCTTCATTGTCGAGGAGTGGAGTTGCGGAGCCAAGGCCTCACCAATCCGCATTCTCCGTTTCTGGCCCGTGCTCGCAATCAACCGTCAGACCGTTATCTCTATTTACCACTTATCAGTATGTTTTGATCAGTCGCGACTTCGAACCACGTTTTTTTGAGTTCGAACCACGCGTCCAGTGCGATGAGTCGCGAGTTCGAACCACGTTTTTTTTGAGTTCGAACCACGTCGAGTGGAATGAGTCGCGAGTTCGAACCACGTTTTTTTGAGTTCGAACCGCGTCGAGTGCAACGAGTCGCGAGTTCGAACCACGTCGAGTGCGAAACAGGGGCGCGCTAACGAGGTTGATTGATGAGTCGCGCGAGTTCGAACCACGTCGAGTGAGAAACTCATGTCAATGTGGCGTTTTTCTTTTTTGTTTTTGGTTTCTGTGAAGCGAAGTAACTCACCTCGTTAGCGTGCTCCTGTTGGATGGTCCGATTCACGGAGCACAGCCTCCTCGTGGCGGAGTAAAAGAATTGGAAAGTTGCACTTTAGTCACTCTGTCCGAATGAACCTGGAAAGCTATGGGGATAAGTGCATGATCGGTACCGGGGCGTGAAGGCAAGCACCCACACTCTGACAGAGACTGATCTGATACTTGGAAATCTGAAAGCCTAAGGCAGCGCAGATACGTTGCTCAAGGAGTAGGAGAGGAGGGGGGGGGGGGGAGGGAGGAAAGAGAGAAGAGTAGGACGACATTCTCCGTAGCGATGTCAATCAAGTGTTCCAAGCCCTTGATACTGTGACGAAGGTTGTCGGCCGGTCTAGTCTTAAGTTTCAGCCCCTTGAAATTACTAGTGTTCAGTTTTCCTTTCTGTTTGTTTGAGCAACAATGATAAAATATCGCGCTTCCATACGACGAAGCAGATCACGTATGGAAGTTAATATGGTACGTTTTGGTGTCTTTCTTGCTTGAGGTTGTCTGCTTGCTCTGCCGAGGCTCGCTCGCTGGTCAATGATTCTTCAAGTTTTTTTTATTTCTGTTCTTTTTGTTTTCCGCTTGTGAAAAGATCTGTTCGTTACGGGTGCGCTGACTGTGTTGCCGTGGTTCTCGTCCACTGGTTGCTTCCTATATGCAGGCGTCGATTTCAAGCTGAAGATGCTTAATTTGAATGGAAAGAGGTTGAAGCTCACGATCTGGGATACAGGTAGGTTGGTGGATATTTGTAGGACATCCCCAAGACATACTGTTAGTTCGGGATCTGCTGCTGTGAGCTCCCCTCTTTCCCCCCCCTTTCCCACCCCATGCCGCCGGTTTTTCGTTAGCTTGTGAGGTTGTCAGCAAGACGACTAGACGGGCAATGATTTGATTGAAATCAGATCAAGTATGATGATTAAGTTGTGACAAAATAGCATAAATGCTGAGGGATTGATCAACGATTGGGTGATTGATCATGCTATGTCGATCGTTTACCTTCCTGCTCTAGTCGTTCGTCTCTGTATTCCTTATAGCCCCCACAAACCACCTGCGCCCCGTCTCTTCCCATGTGCATCGGCGCAGGTGGGGAAACGATGCCGATTTTGTCAAGATATGCATGCACGGAGGAGGGTAGAGGGGAGGGGGAGGGGGGGGAAG